AAATCTCAGGTAATAAAATTTACCTTAGAAATTCCTCAACTATCTGCTTTTGTTTAGTTTTCAATTCTCTATCGAATGGCATTTGGTCGAGGTCTCTATCACTTTCCAATGTTGAGTTATTTAAATTTTAAAAACGGTTCAAATTGTAGAATTTCCAAAAAAAATTTAAAAATTTGAATTCAATGCTGGAGACTCAATTTTTTTTCAAAATGTAGCCCATTCCCTGCTGAATACAGCCATGTAATTAGAAATGCTCTATCATTTCTTAATTTTTCAGAAAAAAGCATTTTTGTTGACCAGTGGGTCCAAAAACCATGGTTTTCTAGAAAACATACTTCCGAGCATTTTGAAGAAAAGTGTTCGCTAGACAAAAGAAAGAGTATGATCTGAAACCCTTAAACCTCAGATAGCTATGCATTCGGTCAAGACCGAAAAAAGTTAACCTAGACCAACTTTCTCATCTAACACGCCTATTAATCTTCGTTGTACTTTGATATATTCAGTCGATGTAGATCGATGTTTTCGTTTTAAATACCAAATTTTTATTGCAAATTTAATGACATTAGCTGCTTGATGTTTACGTTTTTTTGCCAATTCAATATCTAATACAAAACTATGTACGTATTTTTCTGATCGAGTTAACTTAAGTTTTTGTGCTAGAACAGAAATAAGAAGAGCACTAGTCAAAATACCAATTAAACCGATCAGAGCAGCCACACCTAATAGTGAAAAAATAAAATAATATCATTAACATTTAGGCTTACTTCGTCCACAATTTAGTCGATGGTGTTAAATCTCCATAACCTATAAATAAAGTTCATAGTTTTCAAAATTATTTTCTTTAAGACACCTACCAATAGTGGTAAACGTAACAATAAATAACCACATTGAATCAAGAATAGATAAATGTTCTGTTGTTATTGTATAATTACATGCTCGTAATGACCAACTACCAATAGAAAAGAAAAGTCCACAAAATAATAATAAGCAATGTACTGGCCATTGTTCAAGATATGTTTTAATAAGAAAGAAAAAATCCATTGATACTTCATTAAGATAATCCAATGATTGTGATGATGCATCACGAAATAAATAAGAATGAAATAAAATAAAACAACATACCAAATAAAAACGACCAAACACTATTTTTACATGAATTCTTTTTTTCAGTTTTTATAGAAAGAAGATTTCTACTTACTTGGCAAACCAAGTACAACATCGATCTCTATAGGAGATGAAGATATAGAAGTTGTTTTAGATGAATCAGATATTGTTAAATTATCATGTTGTAAACTCCAATTAAGAGGAAAAGATCGAGGAATAGGATGTATAAAACAAATGAATACTTCAAATAGAATAAAAAATATTTTTTTGTTTGTTAAACCAGTAAACCAATTATCAATTACATTATTAACAGAATAAAGATTTAAATCCAAATAATGATAATAAAATACAAGACCAACAAGAATGACTGTTGTAATTGTAATTATTAATTTTGTAATCCAATTAATCATTAGATCTTTTTTATATACATTCATAAAATTAATCTCATTTTCGATGATCATAAGAAAGACACCCAAAAGACCAAGAAAACACATAATATTATTTATTTTACGACTAAAATGTAGAAGAAATTTAAAAAAAATAAAACAGAAAGATTTCCTACAGTCGATCATAGATTTTTTTTCTTCGTCGTAATCGGCGACTTACATCAGCCATTAAATTAATACTTGTTGAACTTGGT